ACTGAGCTACATTTTCAAGACTGTATCAGATGAGTGGCTGCATCAGAGAGTACATGACCCACTACATCTGAAATATTGACAGCCTGGTCCTTTGTAGGAATGTTTTCTAATCCTTGCTAGAAAACCCTACTATATCTTTTCCTTTAGTATAGAAAACTACTATGAAAGAGTTAGTTTAAAATGTCAGGCATGTCTCATGCCTTTAATACCAGCACTTGGGAGGTTGAGGCAGGCAGATCTCTGTGGGTTCAAGGCCAGCCTGGGGCCACCTATTAAGTTCCAAGCCAACCATGACTACATAGTGAAACCTTATCTCGAAATAAAAAAAGAAGGAATTGGCTTCCTGCCTGAACTTACAAAGTACAAAATGCACACAATGCATTATACTTTAACATAGGCATCAATATTTAATATAATAAGAGGCTGGAAATGTGTTTCATAACTCAGAATAAATTATTTGTTCCGGCTGATGAATCCTGAGGGGAGGGCAAATGTGCAAGCTCGCTGTTGTATTTATAATAGCAGCTCTGAAGTCCCTTTTTCAGCCAAATGACCAAGGTTGAGGGCAAATGGGGGCTGGGCAGCTGGGAACACGATGCCAACCTTCCTGGGCAACTCCTTCCAAGACTGCCAGTCTCCATTACATATGGTGTCTTCAGCCATCCATCACCAGCCACAAAGATCTCATTTGCAGCCAGGCTTTGAGCCATTTGACTAAAACTGAACAATTATGATATTTTCCTGCCAAGTATACACCCACAAATATTATTGTAAGTATAAATGACATTCAAAGGCTCTTTTTACTTTTTCAGATAAAGTTACTCTATCTGTCCAGTCTTAGTTCTTGCTGGGGCTAGATCAGGCTTTAAATTCCCATTGTTTTACCAGATGGGTGGGGAGTGAGGATGGACCTTTCCATTCTCTGAGCCTCTGTACCTGATTTTATATATTTACACAATGAATATTTGAGTTCTGGAGCTGGGGATATGGTTCAGTTAATAGCGTGCTTGCCTCCAATACGCAAAGACCTGGCTTCAGTCCCTAGCACTGAATAAAACCAGATGCAGTGGTGCAAGCCTGTAATCCAGTGGTGGGGAGGTTGAGACAAGATGACCAGAAGTTCAAGGTCAGTTAGATTATGAGCTCAAGGCCAGCCTAGGAAAATGAGAATCTGTCTTAGATAAGTAAATTAATGAATGAATGAAGCCATGTTTGACAAGGTTAGCACACGCCTTTAATCCTAGCATTCTGGAGGCAGAGGCAAGTGGATTTCTGGGTTCAAGGCCAGCCTGGTCTATAGACTGAGTTCCAGGACAGCCAGGGCTACACAGGAAACCCTGTCTCAAAAAAATTTTTTAATTAAAAAACAATGTTTGAGTCCCTATTTTGTCCTGGATATCAGGAAAATCTAGAAATTGGGATACTGCTCAGGAAATCAAGCAGACAAGAGTCCTGTCCTTGTGGATCTTGATATCTTGGGGAAATGAGTCATATTAATCAACTAAGTAAAGAGTCAAGACTCTCCCAGATGGTGATGGAAATACAGGAGGCCATGTGGTGGAGTGACACACTTACCAAGACTCTTCCAGATGGAAATGAAATACAGGAGGCCATGTGGTGGAGTTATACACTTACGAGGCTTTCAGTAAAGACCTGAAGAAAGAGCAAGACACGGAACAGCTGTCACCAGTGTCACACAGAAGAGACACAGTGACAAAGATCTGAAGAAGGGAAAAGAGTATCTGTAAGTTAGGATAGCAAGTGGCTAAGAAGGACATGAACAAAGTCAGAGACTGAGGAGGAGGCTGAATCACACAGCTCTAGGGGGTCACAGTAAGGAACTTCAGGTTTTAGTCTAGATATGGACAATTATGTAATATTTTCACAGTAAAAATGGTTAAAAATTGTATGTGATTCGTGTCAAAAGTTTGATTTTATTTATGGAGTTCTTCTTTTGAAAATTTTATTTGGTATGTGTTGCGTGCATGTGTGTGTGTGTGTGTGTGTGTGTGTGTGTGTGTGTGTGACACACTCTCTCAACACATGCCTTGCTGTGCATATGGAAACCAGAAGACAACTTGGGGGAGTTGATCCTCTCCTTCTACAGTGTGAATCCTTGGGGTTGGACCCAAGTTGCCAGCCATGGCAGCTACGGCCTTGACCCACCAGCCATCTCACTGGCTCCTGCTGTTCTGTTCTGTTTTTTTGAGACAGGGTCTATGTACAATTCATGCTAGCCAGGAATCCATAATCCTTTTGCCTCTGCTCTCTGAGTACTAGAATTAAAATGTATATATTTTTCTCTTTAGACAAAGTCTCATGTGTCCCAGACTGGCCTTGAACATGCTCTGTAGCTCTGGTTTTAAACTGCTGATCCTCTTGTCTCCGCCTCCAAAGTGCTGGAAATACAGGCGTGTACCACCAAGTCCAGTTTAAAGAAACCTATTCTTTGTAAGAGCTCTGTGCCAAGACTTTACTAAGTGTTTAGGGTTCAATGCCTCATTGAAGCCCCATGAAACATTATTGGGTAAGAACACTGATGCATTCTGACCAAATTGTAAAGGTTTAGTTGTCAGTAACAGTGAAAGATGAATCAGGAATTAATAGCCATGTTGTTATTGTTTAATTGGATGGCTGGGGTTTTGTGCTTTGTTTTGTTTGGGTTTGTGGCAGAGTCCCAGGTATCCCCAAATCAAACTCACTATGTAGCCAAGGCTGGATCTTAAAACCCCCCCACCCAGGTCCTCTTGCTTCTATCTCTCAAATTCTAGGATTAACTGTATTCCTTGAGAAGCCCAGCCAAACTGAGCTCTTTCACATATTTCTATTCCTGTGAAGCTCAGATTCTTTAGGGGGAGTTATTTTTTTATTATTTTTGTAGAAACAGCTAGAACTCACTATGTAACCAAAATTGGCCTTAAAAGCACAGCAATCCTCTTGCCTCAGCCTCAAAAGTGGTTGAATTACAGGCTTATGCACTGAAACCAGCTTGAAGCCGGATTCCCTTTTTTTAATTACTTTATTTATTTTTATTTTATGTGCATTGGTGTTGCACCTGCATGTGTGTCTGTGTGAAGGCAGAGTTACAGGGAGTTGTAGACTGCCATGTGGGTACTGGGAATTGAACCCAGGTCCTCTGGTAGAACAGTCAGTACTCCTTAACACTGAGCCAACTCTCCAGTCGCTTGAAGCTGGACGCTTATCTTACCCCTCAAAAGAGAATTTCAGTGAGCCACTATGAAGCATAATGGAAACTTTAAATTTTTTTTTAGATAGGATTTCGCCTGTAGTTAAAGTTTGTGTCCAGTTTACGGCAAGTGTCCTGCAAATACTGAGACTACACCAAGAGTTACCACATCTGGATTACTCTGTTTTTAGGTATGGGCATTAAGAGACAGGGCTGGGCCAGGCATGGTGGCACATGCCTTTTATCCAAGCAACCTGAAGGCAGAGACAAGCAGACCTCTGTGAGTTTGAGGTCAACTTGGTCTACACAGCAAGTATCAGGCCAGCCTGGGCTACATAGTGAAACCCTGTTTAAAAGGAAACAAACAAAAGGTGAGATGCTTAAGAAAAAGACGGGCATGTGCGTCATAAGGTTGAGTTGGTCTTCCTACGAAGTCTTGTTTAAATATCATGTCATACTTTCTCTTCCTCTCCCTTACTCTCCTCCCTCCCCTCCCTCTTCCTCCCTCACACCCCTTCTCTTTTCAGAGATGGAGATTAAACCTAGGACTTCATGCATGCTTAGGCAAGCACTATTCAATTCAGGCCATTTTTTTACTTTTTGTTTTGTGTGCACACAGTCTTGCTAAGATGCCCAGTCTGGTTGTAAACTCTCAGGCAGGCTCACCTGAGACAACCTCCTGCCTCGGCCTTCATGGAAGTAGTTGGGATTACAGCAGGCATAGCAAAATGTCTCAATAGCTAATATATTGTTTTTACTAGCACTGTTTTTCAGATAGGTATTCACTTTGTAGCCATGGCTGACCTCAAACTCACTACATACCCCAGGCTGGCCTCAAACTTCTGTGATCTTCCTGCCTTCACCTCCCAAGCACTGGGATTATACCATGAGGCACTTCATCTAGCTGTTTTGGTGGATTTTAAGGTTACATTGCTTAAAGGAATTGAAAGACTAAATAAATGTTATCTGGTATACTTTTTAGTTTTTAATCATATAGTAAATATCAGAAAAGTTTAAGCTAAACTAGTGACATTAGTACATCATATCAAGTGAACTAGATTACATAAACAACCATGGAAGACAACGACGCTAGAACGGCATACTATTTATTTCATTTATTATTTGGGGGAGCAAGGAAAAGAAAGACAGAAAGAGGTGAGTACAGATGGGTGAATGCATGACACATAGGTGTGATCAGAGGGCAGCTTGCAGGAGTTGCTTCTCTCATTCTACCATGTGGGTCCTGGGGTATCAATCTCTTGCTCATCAAACTTGTTGCCAAGTACCTTATCATCTCACCAGCCCCTCTCAATCTTATTTGTCGGAAAATTACAGGTTAGAGCCAGAGATACAGTTCATGCTTCATTGGGTAGAGGGGCTTACATAGCAGCTGGAATCACCTACCTGTTTTTGCATGCCTTCTGTGGCACTGTACCATAAGACAGCCTCTGGAAAACACCGTACAGCCATTAGAAAACGAGTAAAAAGCGTACGCAATTGTTATAATGTTATAAAACTGTTACTCTGCTAGCAGATCTCTTGAATGGCACTTAGGAAACTACTAGAGAGAAATGTTTACTTGGGGGTAAAGTTTGGTTTCGGGTTCTTCTACACATTGTTAGCACAAGGAACTCAAAGAGTGACGTTTTTAAAACAACAAGCACTCACTCTTTAAAAAAAAAACTTGTTCTGAATATGTTTTGACATAAGACTGTAGCTGTGGCTTCTAGTACTAAGCCGTACGGTGACGTCACACAGCTACTTCCGCTCCCTCTCTTCGAGTGGGATACTACATTTCCCAGAATGCTTTGCCAACGACGACGCCATTGGTGAGCGCGGCCGGAAGTGTACCTGACTGAGGGGGAAGTAGAAGGTCTCGGAGGGCCGAGTGGTGGAAAGCAGAGCTGCGAGCTTGGGAAGAACATCGTGGGTCTCGCGGCGTGGGGTGAGGAGTGTGGCCGGGGGACAGGCGCGGCATCGCGCGGGGAGGCGCTTTTCCTAACCTCGACTCAGATCCGGGAGGCGAAGCCTGCGCAGTCCTGACCCTCCGTCTTAACTTTCCTTGGCACAGGCTAGGACGAATTCGGACTTAAACGCGACAGTGGGTCATTGGTGTGGTTTTGCTGCGACCGGAGGGGTGGTTCTGACTCAGCTTCTAGAGCGGCGGTGGTTAATAGGCTGCAGTCACCCAGGTCACTTTAAAAGGAAAAAAAATACAGGTGCCCTGGCCCGACTGCAGACAGATAATGTCAGTGTCTGGACAGCAGAGCTGCGTCATGAGGGTTGACAACCAGCCCTTCCAATACCTGGTTCTGACCCCCTCGAGCTTCCCTGTGAAAACTCCTGCGCAAAGGCTCCCCTTCCAGAATTAGCTGCCTAGGCTATACCGCTTGCATTTCGGCAGAGTTTAAGCATAGATGCCTTATTGGGCTCCACAAGAAACTTAACTCTCCGGCTTCCGGTGGCGATGATGGCCCAGACGGACTTCGTTGCTTCCAGTTGATGACTTGATCGTTTATTCTGAACAAAGATTAGGAACGTTTCTTTTTCTTCCTGCCACTGTTTTGGCTGCTGCCTAATTTTTGCTACTCAGCAAACAGCAGGATGTTGTAGGGTCACCTTAAAATCAGTCTTTTAATTTAGAGTATGGATTGAGGGTGTGGCTCTGAGGTTAAAACGGTGGTTTACAAGCACCATAAGGTCTGAGATAACGTCTCCAGCACCGGTGGGAAGTGGGGATATCAGTGTCATTATAAGACCGATGCCATATTTGACTGGGAAGAGCTATCAATTAAAATGATAATCGGCATTGAGTATGGGTTTATTATAATCTATTTTTGGGTGAGGGAAGGAGCTAATACAGGGGCTCATGTAGCCTAGGTTAGCCTCAAACTTGCTATGTAGCCAAGGATGACCTTGGATTTCTGAACCTCCTGCCTCCATTTCCCAAATGATGACTGCCAGTATGGGTCACCACACTTGGTGATAGCCTGTTCTTATTTTTATTTATTCTATTTGTTTGGTTGGTTTTGGTTTTTCGAGACAGGGTTTCTCTGTATTGTTTTGGAGGCTGTCCTGGAACTCGCTCTGTAGGCCAAGCTGGCCTTGAACTCACAGAGATCCACCTGTCTGCCTCCTAAGTGCTGGGATTGAAGGCATGCGCCATTACCACCACCACCACCAGATGATATCCTGTTTTTAAAAATAATGATTCACAGTCGTTAAGTTGTGTTAGGGGATTAAATGCAGAGGTTTGTTTAGGTGTGAGATGGAATTTAAGAATATATATATATATATATATATATATATATCCGTCATTATATAACACATTCTTTTTTCCTTTTTCCAGACAGTTAGCCTCACCTCCCTCCCTGAACTCAGCATGGGTGAGAAGTCAGAGAACTGTAAGGTTCCAGAAGATCTGTTCAGTGGTTTGAAAGTTACAGATTCTCAGGAAGCAGAGTCAGCCAGCCCCCAGGTCTCTGATCTCAAGGACCAGCATTCCCAGAGCAAGCTACTAAAGGATGATGGAGCCCATCCCCAGGAGGACCATGGAGAAGAGGAATGTTTTCATGACTGTAGTGCCTCCTTCGAGGAGGAGCAGCCAGGGGCACAGATGGTAGGGGACAAAGCCACTGATGAGTCTAGTTCCTCTGAACTAGATGAGGAATACCTAACAGAACTGGAAAAAAACATGCCTGAAGAAGAGAAACAGGTAAATGTGATGCATAACCTGCTTCTTAAGCCACTTTTGTTGTTGCTTTTGGGAAATATGGTCTCTCAATGTCATCTTGGCTGGCTTGAAACTCAGTATGTAGAATGAGCTTGTAGCAATCCTCTTGACTTTACCCCCTAAATGCTGAGATTATATGCCTGAGCCACTATGCCTGCCTAGCTTAAAACTTTTTTGTTTGTTTGTTTTTTGTTTTTCGAGACAGGGTTTCTTTGTATTGTTTTGGAGGCTGTCCTGAAACTCACTCTGTAGGCCAGGCTGGCCTTGAACTCACAGAGATCCGCCTGCCTCTGCCTCCCGAGTGCTGGGATTAAAGGCATGCACCACCAACGCCCAGGTGCTTTTAAATTTTTAACTCATTGTTTTGTTTGTTTGTTTTCTAAGATAGGGCGTGGCCATATAACTCCCAGTCTTCCTGCCTTCACATCTCTAGTGCTGTGACGATAGGCAAAGTACAACCAAAGCCTGGTTCAAACCACCTTAACTATAAATAAATACAGGCTTGGCATAGCTTGCAGTCTCAGTGTTCTAGAGATTAGACACTAACCTGGGATACACATGGAGACCCTTGACTTTAGAGAAAAAAGTGGCTGAGGATGAAAGTGTATAATAGACGACCTGATCTGTGACAAATAACATTGAGTCCTAACCTATTTCCCAGTGACAGATCTGAGATAAGGCAGTAGCCCAAGGAAGCCCTGAGCACTCAGTTAACAAAGAAGTTGCTGGGTTTTCCCTGTGTATTTAGAACTCTGTCTTCTACTTTAGGGGTCTGTAACATGCTTGTAACATGCATCTACACAGATGTATAGATTTTTGGGGTTGTTGTGGCTCCAGAGACCCAAGTCCTTATAAATGCCAGCAGGTGCTCTACTGCTAACCTCCATCTTGATTGCCACCTTCTACTTTGTCTTTTTTAAACAATTACTCTTAAAGTAAGTTGCTGGAATTTCTGTAGTGAACTTTTTGTAAACTTATTTAGAATTGTGTTATATGAGTTGTACTTGTTAATCACTTATTAGCAAAATATGACTTGTGAACCCTGAATACCCTGTTGCATTGTGGCTACAGAGCACAATAAGTATCAAGGAACACATTGTGAAGGAAACCCACAGTGTACCAAGCCACTAAGCTCAGATGTTTCTTGTTTTAGATCATGTGTGTGTGGAGGAGTGTTCAGAGCAAGACCACACAGCTAATAAATGGCAAAACGGATTCCTCCAACTTAGATCTCCTTGACAAAAATACAAAGTGTGTGTGGTCTAACATTTAATAAAAAGCATCCTTCTCAGGTCCCTTGCTCATGGACATCTGGGCAAAGTTTTCTGTTGGAGACAGAGATGTCTCCTGTCAAGTCAGGTGGTCAGACAAGTTCCCTTGGTGTCAGAGTTTATCTGCAAAGAGCTTGAATGAACTGTAGTTTACGCCACCAAAGTGCCAACCGTTTGAGATAGAACCCCAAAGGGTAGGTTGAGATAACCCATATGGCAGATTCAGGTTCCATAAGGAACCACTAGCATGGATTTCACGTGAAGTGTCATTTAGCAAAGCTGAGAAGAGAGCAACAGCACACAGACAAGGAAATTTGATGTACATTTAGAAGGGAGGAGTATCTGACTAGAGATGGGCCTTACTACAAGAGGAGCATGCCCTGATATCACCATGTGCATGAACTTAACAACAGTACTAGATAGGAAGGATATAGGGCCACAAATCAGGTTGTCATGGGCATGGGTAACAGGTATCTAATCCTCTTGTCCCCCTCCCCCACCTCAGAGTGTCTGAGTTTTCATTGTCACAGCTGGAGGAGCAGAAAAGGGGTCTGACTAATTCCCTTACTGCCGCATCATCTGTGATCTTACATGATGCACTCTTAGTCTATTTCTTACTCATTTCTCCCCCTTCTTTCTTTGAGGTGGCTTGCTTGTTGTGAGATAAGATCTTAAGATGTTGCCTTGACTGGCTTCAAATTATGGCGACCCTGCTGATCCCTGTGCTTCAGGCATAAACTACTGTGACAAGGTCTTGAAATGTAGCCTGGGTCTTTAATTCATCATCCCTCTGCCTCAGCCTCCTGCATACAAGTATTGATAGGATATATCTCACAGACACTTTTCACTATTAAATAAATGAGTATTAACATGAAATTTATCTTTAGGGGATACGGTAGGGAGGATTTTGAGATGGGGACTCATGTAGGTAGCGCTGGCTGGCTTCAAACATCAAATACTATGTAGCTTAAGATGACCTTGCCCTCTTAATCTTCCAGCCTCACATTCCAGGAACTGAGATTATAGTCATTCACCATGTCCAACTTAAAGTGTTAGATTTCCTGCTAATGTGTTTTATCAGAAGAGAATTAAAAATCAGAAGAAACAAGTTCATGAACTATATAAACAAAAATGACTTAGCAAATTAAATCAAGTGCTGGCTACCATTATAGAAACAAATTTCAATTTATACCAGTAGTGCAGGCTTTTTTTTTTTTCAAAGACACATTAAGCTAACATCTGTGTCAAACAGTTAGTAACCAAGCCAATCATTTAGTGCCAGCACTTGGAAGATAGAAACAGGATCTGAGTTTGAAGCAAGTCTGGTCTACAAATTGAGTTCCAGGACAGCTAGGGCTACACAGAGAAACTCTGTCTCAAAATATAAAACAAAAAACCAGAACAGCAGCCTGGTGTGTACTGTAAACCCAGGGCCTTACACAAGCATGCTAAGCTAGTGTCCTCCCACTGAGATACACCCCAACCCTCTACTACCATTTATTTTATGCTAGTGTTAAGACTTTTTGTGAAATTATCATTAACCAGCTATTTTGCTGGAAGAAATGTTTTCAATGCATGTGAGGTCAAATTTTGTAGATTATTGAGAACAGGATAGTATCATACCTGATTTAAGGAGATCATGTAACTGGGGAAAAAAATTCTGTGATGAGCCAAAAAGTGAAAATTTTCAGTCTTAACCTAATTATTTTAAAATACAAATGAAAACATGTCTATAGTCATGTATGCTGGTCCATGCCTCACAACACATGAGAGATTGATGCAGGAGAATTGCTTTTGAGAATGAGCTTGAGGACAGCCTGGGCAGCACCTTTTCTTAAAACAAAAACTTTAGGCCAATTGAGATAGCTCAGCAATGAAAGCATTCGCTGCCAAGTCTGATGAGTCCCATATGATGGAAGAAGAGAACCAACTCCCCCACTTTGTCCTCTGACTTTGAGATACCCATGACACCGTGCTCCCACACTAGAAAAATAAATGTAATGAAAGATTACAATCGCAGAAAAATTAAAATATCAATGGTAAGATGACAGAAATTTGTACTAATATTGGTCATTTAAATTGCCGTATCATTTCAGTGGACTACAAGTACCCAAATAGTTCGTGTATGTGGAATGCGCATGTGTAGGACAGCAGGATCGGGTTTCTTCCTTCCTTCCCTTATCTTTAAAGACAGAATCTCTCACCTAACTTGGAGCTCCCTGATTCAGCTAAGGCTGGCTAGCCATCAAGGCTCATGGGTCTGTCAGGGTCTTCCTGTCTTTGTCTCCTCAAAGGGATCTGCCAGCCCCTGTCTTCCCAGTGCTGGGATTAAAAGGAGTGCACCACCAGTCCATTGAGACCTTGACTTTGTAATCTTCTTGTAACCATCTTTCAAGTAGCTGAAATTACAGGTTTGTACAACCAGACCGAGCAAAAACAAGTTACTTTTGAGTCTTGACTTTTCTTATCTGTAAAAAAAAGAGCTCCATGCTCACCTCTCGTTGTTTTGGGAGCACAAATGAGCTGATGTGTGGCAGAAGACAGTAAGCAGCGAAAAGCTGTGTTAGTAAGATGTGCTGAGTTTTAGTGCTGTGGTGAAGCATGCAGTTTGGAGCCAGGTGTGATGTTCAAAACTGTAATCCTAGCACATGGTGGGGCTAGGGCATGAGGATTTCTGTGAGTTAGAGGGCAACTCTGTTCTGAGCAGGGGCAGCACTTAACTGTTGAAAATTTGATCACTCATCGGGGGCACTGGTTTGGGGGTTTTTCCTTGCTAGTTTCTCTGATGCTTTACAGTACAGAGCGCTGTCACTGTTTTCCCTGAGTTCTCTGTGCCCATACTGAGTAAAAAGCTCGCTAAGCTTCCTTGGCTCCAGTTTCTGTGAATATAGAATTCTAGAGCAGATGTTGCCCAGTGAGGCCTCTCTGGAACATATTAAAAGTTGTGGAGGTGTGTAAGAGGGCTGCTGTGCACATGGGACACTTCTGTTCATAAAACGGAAAGATTTGTACTGTGGTGCTGCAGAATACCAGTGCTGCCGCCAATGTGTGCATGAGAGACTCCTGGTGCTTGGCCTGTCCATGAAATCTGTCCTTGAGTTTCAGGAACATCAACAGGATTCATGGGCTGTCCTTTGAAGAAAGTGTTCAAGGCATGGAATGAACCCCTGCCTTTGTTTTGGGATCAAGTCCATCTCTTGGCACAGTTGGGAGATAGTTAGGCTTTCTCCTTAAAATGTTGCTTTTAGTTGTTTCCATGGAGATAGTCAACATGGTATTGATAATTGCATTAATAAGTTTACATCATCAGTGGAACAGGTGGCAGTGACTACACTGTACTGCAAAGCAGGTCATTGGGCTACAATTTATCAACCAGAATAGAGTAACTGACCTCATGATGACCTCACAATTACATTCCAGAGCCCTTGTCTTTGGTAGTTTAACTTTTAGTCCACCTAATATAAAGAATTGGTAAAAAAAAAATTTCTCAGGCTGACCCCGATAATCTACCCTTTTGTAGATGTGTGAAGGCTCTCATCTTTGTCTATTAAAAATTGAATGTTAAATTTACCAGGGCATGAGTGGTCTCCTATATCTTTCTCCCTGTCCATCAAGAGTCTCATCTGATTGGCTGCTTAATCTGAACCTGTAGAACCACCCTTATGAGTTGCCTCTGGAGAACAAATGTGAAAGGAGGCTGAGATTAGACTTAAAAGGGGGAAACTGAAAGACCCTAACCACTAGATAGAAGCTGACAGAATTCTGCATTAAAATGACTGCTGTCTACATTTCCTGGGGTTTTCTTGGCTCTTCAGCATCCAACCCTGCATTCCTCGTGCAGGCTTCTCTTATGTTAGCATCGTGTTGAGTGGCTATAGCCTGGGTCTATTACTCTCCCTTCCTAATAGACAAGTCAGGTAACCTGTGTGTTGTTTATTGGGTACTTCTAACTAAGACCTTGAATCTAGGCGAGGCAGTAACTAGAACTTTTTATTTGCTGATTAACCATTTTCTGTTTTGGTCATCAGGAGAGTTGCTTCTGCCGTGCCTCTGCAGCCTGTTCTTGCAACTTCCCATCGGTATTTGAGTTCCTAGTATCTTTCGCTAAATCTACTCCTTAATATATTTTGCTTAGGATTGTGTTTTTCTGGTGTTCTAAACCTATAGCCAGTGCACTAGAGAACATTACAATTTAATCATCTCTAGTGGGTGTTGGGAATATATGATCTTAGTGGTACAGTTATTTTGTTTTCTTTTATTTATCATCACTGCCACACATTTAGCTGTATACTCTTAGAACATGTGGTTGTCTATGGAAAGGGGTATGTTTGCTTTTTACTTTTGGTGGTGGCAGTTAGATCCAGAGCCTCAAGTGTGCTAGGCAAATGCTCTACTCTTGACATGCTGTATCCTGAAATGAATTGTACACATACAGATATTTGGGTCTGGTCACAGCAGATGTCAGTTTACATATACCTTTAGCATCCTTACCGAGATTCAGGTGTTCTGTTTGATCCAGCATCTAACAAGAGATGACCTCAGTAATATATTAACAGGTCTTCTCCAGAGAAGTAAGATTTTTATTTTAGTTTCTAATCTTTTCCTCAAGACAGGGTTCTCTCTTTAGCCCTGGTTGTCCTGGAACTTGTTCTGTAGACTAGGCTGGCCTCGAACTCGGGGAGCTGCCTACCTCTGCCTTCAGAGTACTGGTGTTAAAGGTGTGTGCCACTATGGCCAGGTATAGCTCCTAATCTTGAAAGTACCAGTTATTTAGGTTTTAAGCTTCTCTTGTACATGAAATAGCTTGCTTACATTATTTTTTTATTTTTTTTAATTTTTTTATTTAATTGGGTTTCAGGATTAAACAAAGAGAAGGGAGAGGGGCTTTGGTGGTTTGTCTTCTTTGCTTGCTTGCTTGGCTTTTGGAGGGGAGGGTTGGACAAAACACTGTCCAGAGGTGGGAAGCAGGCCTCCAGATGGTTCTTCAGGTTGGCCTTGAAGCAACCACAGTGTCAGGTTGTCCCTGGAAGGAAGTAGGTTCAGTATGTCCCGTCTGTGCTCTGCAAGCTAGCTTTGTTCTGCCTTTGTGCTTGATGCATTTGAAGCCATCTGTATAAGTTGCTGAAGTTATTAGAAGCTAAGAGAAGACACACTGAAAAGTTTAAGTTTTGAATTTTGACACAGGGTCCTGCCTCAGCTTCCTGAATGCTAGAATTACAGCATGAGCCACCACGCTTCATTTATAATATTGTGAGAAATTGTGTAATCCTTTGATCTCTTTCAGAAAAGAAGAGAAGAGAGCACTAAACTAAAGGAGCAGGGGAATGAACAGTTTAAGAGAGGAGGTGAGGTCTGCTCTGCGCTGGTGTGTGCTTGCCCAACCCTTGTCCTTTCACAGTCCCAGACTCACCAGAGAACAGTCACGAAGGGCAGTTACCATGAGGCTCCTGCACCTGCAGAGTTCTTCTTTCGTCTAATTTAGCTTTGAACCCAAAAATCAGGAAGAAAACCCTAACCTTAATATATTGCTGTAACAGTATCATCCCAGTCCCCATTTGCTACCTTCCAACAAGAGAAGTGTTGTTGTTGGGTTTGTTTAGTTTTTTCTTTTTGGTCTTTTCTTTCTTTCTTTCTTGAGACAAGATCCCACTCTCTAGGCCAGGGTAGGCTGATCCTCCTACCTCAGCCTCCCAGTAATGGGGTTTATTTGCCACCATACCCACCTTTCCTTCTTTCATGTGCCTTTTTCTGTGATTGCTGAAGCACACTAACTTCCTAAAGGAAACAGTTTATTTAGCTCATAGTTTGGGAGGCTAAAAGTCAAAAAACATAGTAGTGACTGCTTTGGTGAGGGTCCCATGTCAGAGGGTAGGAATGTGTGCAAGAGAGAGGGTAACATCTCAAACCCCACAGGAAATGAAGGAGAGGGCTGGGGATGAGGCTCAGGCTTTGTAACAGCTCACTGTCCTACAGACTCACTCTAGTATACTACAGCTGTTTGCTTCCCCTCTTGGGGCTGCACCACCACTAAAGACCTTCGGGGAGACCTTTATTTTTGCAGATCTTCTCCACCAATGCATGAAACATCGGAGGAGCAAGCTGCAGTCAAACCCGAGCAGTATTGTTTATTTCTTTCCATTTTCTGTGTTTGTTAAGAATGCTTTAGGAATGCATTCCAATAACACACTCAGGGTTATGCAGTCTGTCACATTGCAAAGTGCACCTACCTAAGAATGAAGAGCTCTCAAGTTTTCCTCTCATGGTTTTTAGGTTAAATTTTTTTTATGATCCCCCCCTCCAAGAAAAGGTTTGTTATGTTAACTTTGGCTGGGCTAGAACTCATTGTGCACACCAGGCTGTCCTTGAATCTCAGTGATCCACCTGTTTCCTGATACTAAAAGCATGTGTCACAACACCCAGCTGGTTTACTTTTTATTTGTTTATTTATTTGAGAGGGGGTTCTCACACTACAGCCCTGGTTGTCCTGGAACTCACTATGTAGACCAGGCTGGCCTTGAACTCAAAGATATCCACCTGCCTCTGTCTCCCTCATGCTGGGATTAAAGCATGGCTACCATGCCTGGCCCTGGTTTAATTTTTTTTTGGGGGGGGGAGGGTGGAGGACAGAGTTTCTCTGTGTCACAGTCCTGACTGTCCTGAAACTCGCTTTGTAGACCAGGCTGGCCTTGAATTTCACTGAGATCCGCCTGCCTCTGCCTCCCGAGTGCTGGGATTAAAAGCGACCACCACCACCACCCAGCTCAGATTTACTTTTTAATACCAGAACCAATAGTTTGTTTCCTCCCTTCCACTCCCAGTGCTAGGAACTGGGCCAAGGCTGTGCACGTATTGGTCAAACATTCCATCACTGAGCTGTGTCCCACACCTCAGAAATGTCATCTTCACCTTGAATCATAGACCTTGAGTTTTAGTCTTTAACTTATCCAGTTCCTTAAACCCCTTTGGAAATTTCTTTTCTAAATTGCCAAGTGGAAGCTGAGTAACTAGGGCATGCTGCTGCTCTGAGCATTGAGGGCTCTTGACTGACAGCATGTTGCACAGTTTACCAAACACATGCCTGGTGCCATTGCAAAGAGCAGGCACTATTTCTTTACAGAAAGAAGAAAGGGGGAAATGATGCTTAAGACCTAGTAACCCATAGCAGTAATCTTTTCACTAGAAACTTTGGTCCTGTGAGTAAGAAACTACATTGAGATCTGACAAAATTATAATGACTGTTCCATCTTATGGTATTATCCTCAGATTACATAGAAGCTGAGAGTTCTTACAGTCAAGCCCTTCAGATGTGCCCATCCTGTTTCCAGAAGGATCGGTCTGTTCTGTTTTCAAATAGAGCTGCTGCAAGGATGAAACAGGTATGAGCTGTTGGTCTTTCCCTAAGTGCATGATCCCCAGTGATTATAGGCTCAAGCATGATCTTCTAGCAGTCCATAGGTCATACATGATCTTTCAGTGGCCTTAGGGTCATTTCTCTCCAAAATTAATACAGGGGCTTCAAATTGCTATTCTTTTTGTACCCATGCATTTCCTGGGTGAAAAGTATATAGAAAAATACTTGGAAAAACTTGACTAAGGCTTGCTTTAACAATCCTAATTAAAGTAGCAGGGTGAATACTTTCATTAAGGCAGGCTGACAAGTTCCCACTAACTAGGGCAGGTTTGTGAAGCAGGAAGCCAAGTAGTGCACATTCCAGAATAGCTGCAGCTGCTGCTCTTAAGCTTCTGGAATTATCAAGACTTAGAGGTACAAGGAATAACTAGTTAAAAAGACGCTTGTTACTAAGGCTTTCATTTTATTGTTAAAAATATAAACACTGGGAGAAGTAGCTGGCACTTGAGGTGAAAGGTATCCTTAAGTGCAAAATACGTGTCAGGGAAAAGTATTTTGTATTTCTACACTCGTGAGGACGGTATGGTAGAGCAAGAAGACTAGAGTAAGCAGAAGTGCAAACATAGTGTCTGTGCTATGTTGATACTACTAATGAGATTTGTTAATTGTACTTGTTAATACTTGTACTAGTTAATTTTCTTGTTGCCAAGACTGAATCCCTGGAAAATCAGTTTAAGGAAGGAGGTCTGCTTTGGCTCGCAGCTTCAGGATGTACAGGGAAGGCATGGGGTCACATTGCATCTACAGTCAGGAAGTAAGAAATGACGGGTGCTGGCGCTCAGCTAGCCTTTTCCTTCTCATTTAGTCTAGGAGCCCAGCACATGGAATGCCCCGCCTCCATGTAGGGTGGGTCTTCACACTTCGGTTAACCCAATCTAGAAACTCCCTCACAGATGGGCTAGAGGTTATTTTCTTTGGTCGTACTAAATCCTACCAAGCTGACAATCAAGATAACTGTCACAGAATTTAAAGAACCTAAAATTAGAGGCTTAAAAATTGAGAAGAAACTGGGAGGGTAAGGCAGAAAGATTACCAGGAGTTCCAGGTAAATCTGGGCTATAGAGTGACACTCCACTCCCACCCCACAGAAAGAAATAATAAATAACAAAAAAACCCAACCATCCTGACCTTGGGCGCCCACTGGTCCTTGTCTTTGGTCATTCTGTGCCGTCAGGTCTGCCCTGATGTTGCCGGGCCTGACTGGCTCGGCCTGGCGCCTCCTGGTGCCATGCTCACACAGGTCCACTCGAAGCCGCCACAGGAGCAGCTCTGTGTCCTGGATATCACCACGGGCTCACTTCCTGTTTCATCTGTTGCCTCCTGCCTGCGGGCTGGGTCCTGTCACACCTGGAGAGCTACAAGAAGCGGGAGTGAAGGGAGCTGTCCTCCCCTCATCCTGTGACTAGACCACTCTTGCCAGCCCATCTTGATCATATTTCCTGCATTCCAGACTGGCCTTCCCTGGGATCATGCCATTCAATTCCAGTCACCTCTTCTGCAATCATGACCTCTCGATGTCACCATGGTGACAACAGGGACCACATATTGCTTCTGCTTGGTGGGGTCCCCCTTGTAACAATAAAGTTTATTTAAACCTTAAAAAAAAAACCCCAACCATAAATTGTTAATTAATTGAGAAGAACTTCAGAAAGGCAAGCTTACAGGCTAGATAGCATTGCTGACTGGGTGTCTCAGGTCAGACCCCACCTTTTATTTCTGAAGTCAGTAAAAGCCAACTTGGCTTTAGTGGCTTCTACTCTAGATCTAGGTAGCTAATCCTGAATGGGCTTTTTAAAGGAAACAAAGGGCTTTAAGTTTTTTAAAAACTACTGACTATATAGATATATAGATTTGCTTATTCTCATCTTTTAAACTAAGGGTTTTGCAGTGAGTCATATGCCAGATTCCTCTACTGAAGAGGCCAACTAATGATAAGATGTACTGCAACCTAATTACAGCTTCTTCAAGGGAGCTGGAGGATGGCTTAGGGGTGTGAAGGACCTGACTTCAGATCCCAGCACCCACATAAAAAGCCGGTGTGGCCTTGAGCATGTTTGTAACCTAACACTGTAAGAATGCAGAGACAAGCTGGGCGTTGGTGGCGCACGCCTTTAATCCCAGCACTTGGGAGGCAGAGGCATGTGGATCTCTGTGAGTTCGAGGCCAGCCTGGTCTACAAGAGCTAGTTCCAGGACAGCCTCCAAAGCCACAGAGAAACCCTGTCTCGAAAAACCAAAAAAAAAAAAAAAAAAAAAGAATGCAGAGACAGCTAAGACTTGCTGGCCACTGGCAGAGAGCGGTAAAGAAAAACAGAACATCATTCTCTGACCTGTGGGTACATACATAGTTGACACACACACAAAAATCGTAATAGAAGCTTTGGGGAAAACAAAGTGTACTATCACAAGTGTACATTTAATGTAAAGGGGTTTTCCTATTTCAAAACTTTATAAAACAAAATCATTTGATGGCTTATGGAAATCTGATAAATTGGAAGAAACAGACTTAAAATACTCATTTTCCTTCTACAAGATTTCTTTCTTTTTTTTTTAAAGATAGAGTCTTCCTGCTGGGCAGTGATTGCACATGCCTTAAATCCCAGGTCTCTCAAGGCAGAGGCAGGCAGAGCTCTCTGAGTATGAAGCCAACCTGGTCCAGTTCCAGAACAACTAGGATTGTTAAAACAACTAGGACATAAAAACCCTGTCTCAAAAAAAGAAAAGAAAAAATAAAGAGATGGAGACTTCCTTCATTAAGTCTTCTCTGTAAAGAAGTTCCAGGTTCCAAGTTATAAGTCCTTAAAAGACCAAGATAATCAGAGAGCTAAAGAAATGACTCAGTAATCCCAGCACTTGGGAGGCAGAGGCTGGTGGATCTCTGTGAGTTCGAGGCCAGCCTGGTCTACAAAGTGAGTTCCAGGACAGCCTCCAAAGCCACAGAGAAACCCTGTCTCAAAAAAAAAAAGTTTTTACTTCTCATTTTTATTGATAATTAAAACTAGGTTTATTAAAATGATACATGATGTCAATAATGCTGACCCAAGATAGCAAACTTTAACTAGACATTTGATCTCCAGATGTATCACAAATCCTAAGTCATTTTCCTTTACATTTTGTATAGTGAGTTAGCTTACAATAAAGTGAAATATTGCAAAAGTGACTGTCCATACTGTGAATACATTCCAGCTTTTCTGAACTTACAGTTCACTTCTCCTGTTCATCGGCTGTGCTTTTTATATGGTCCAGCCATGTACTGATTCTGCAGTTGCAGGAAGCAACCATCTTTCTTTGGGCTCCTGCATTTCCTTGCTTATGTGTTGTTATTATTACAGTTTCAGGGACAAAGATTACAGCAAAGCATAACATTAGTGCACATGAACCCAGAGTGGTACAACAGCCCAAGAGCTCAGCATGTCAGAGCAACTGAAATGCTACCTTACAGTAAGCAGGATGACAGTTATTCAGGAACTCCAAGTTTGCAAAAGAAGATATGCTGAACTAGCTATTTTCCTTTTAAAGTAATGGTTCTGGCCTTCCCTTCTAAAGCCGTCTCTTCATTCACATGAACAGGTGTTTTAAACTTGTCAGTATTAAGCTGCATCTTAAGTCTATAATTTCTATATACAGTCACTGATATCCTTCACCAAAATATTTAACCATTTTTAAAATACAATAGCTTTGATTATAGGAAGGAAAAATAAAAACCAACCAGACAGAGTCTTCCTTTATAGCCCAGAGTGGCTTCAAACTCAAGATTCTCCTGCCTCAACCTAGGATAAAAGGTGTGCTCAAACACACCTGGTTTTATGTGAAGCTGGGGCTGGAACCCAGGACATTTGTACATGCTTGTACATTTACTGATTTCAGTATACAATTAAAGATTTTTACAATGTTGTACAACCATCACTACTATCTACTTCCAGAACTTCCATGACTCTGAAAGAATACTTAATACTTACCAAACAGTCATGAAGCCATCCTAGAACACAGTTTAGATGCTGCTCTAGAATGTTCTGTAAAATATTCAGTATTTGCTAACGTGATCATGATAGTTGTAGAACACTTATGAAAAACAAACTTTTTCCATGATATTGTACTACTGATTTGGACAAAAGACATTTAAAGTTGAAGACTGTTATCCAGCATTCAGTTCAGCCTGCTAGTAAATGATATGAGAAACTGAGCCCTACCAAAGGAAAGTAACATGGCCATGTCAGAGCTGGGACCAGAATCCAGTTCCCTTGACATAGCTATGTGTCTAGAATGAGTCCCTTATTCAGGTGCATTGTTTAACATGTTTATATCTCTGTTATCAGTGGGTAAGTCAAGGTTTGTAACAGACACTGCCCTGTAGATGGATCCAAAGTTGCACTTCAGATGTGATAATGTAACAGCTAGCTACTGAACAAGACTGGTTCGTTATTCAGTATGTCAGTCTTATTTATTGACTACAGAGTTTTCTCTGTTGACATTCTAATGTAACTTGTCTTGCAACATTTTAGGTGAGCAAAGAAAGTACTTGTACATTTGTTACCAAGAGGCTTTCAGAGACAAGCTCACATGAACTTTGAATTTTATATTGGAAGTAACATGCATTTTCATGAGATTTCCTTGAGTGGCATTCTTTTTTTAATATTTATTTATATTTTGTGTGTGGAATGCTTGCATGTATGTATATATGCCATATGCATGCATACCTGATGCTCTCAGAGGTTAGAAGAGGGTGTCTGATCTCCTGGAACTCTTAATTACAGCAGAACTGCCATGTAGTGGTAACCAAACCCAGGGCCTCTGCAAGAATAGCAAGTTCTCTTATCTTCAGCAAGCACTGAGCAGTCTCTCCAAGCCCACATTCTTTATCTTCATATTCAACTCTGATGATCAGCTCATAGTAATGGGAGCTTGAGCTCTTGAGATGAAGTAGAGGAATATGTTAATGTCATTTTTCCTTACAGGACAAGAAGGAAATGGCCATCAGTGACTGCAGCAAAGGTAAAACTTCTGTTGACTAAAAAGCATTCCTCAGCAAGACAGACGGGGTTGGATGTGTACTCAGGCGAGTCTTTCATGCTGGGGCTTTTAAAGAAGCAGTTTATGAGATGGCATATTCAGAGCACTGTGTGGGTATCATCTTAGAGTAAGCATGCCTGCAAGTGGATTTTCAGCCTATTTCTTATGTAGTCAATATGTGAAAACATTTGAAACTACCTTGGCATCAGAACTCAAGTGTGGCATAGAATTTACCTCCTGTAGCCTTCAAATTACCTGTCTTTGTGACTGGTTGAGGATCTTTGTTGCTGAACTCACACTCGTAGCTGTTTAGATATCTACATGTATACGTCATAGGCTAGAATCTACGTATAGTGAGAACATGCAGGGTTTTTTTTTCTTTCTGAGTTTGAATCACTTCTCTTAATATTATACTTTCTAATCCCATTTATTTTCCTGAAGTTTTCTTTACAGCTGAATATTTCACTTCATATATATGTGCTACATTTTAAATCCCCATTTGTCTTGTTAATGGGCTGGGTTCCATTTCTGTGCTAGCAGTAAACACTAATATGCCTATCTCTATGGTAGGATATGGAGCTCTCCACGTATATGCCTAGGAGTGGAATAGAATAGCTGGGTTATATGATAGTTTTAATTAATTTTTTGAAGAATCTCCAAATTTAGTTCCATATTAGCTATATTAATTTACACCACCAGCAACAATGAATGGAGCACTTCCAAAGGTACTCAGGACTGTTTCTTGTGATAACAGTTTCTTTTCCTTTTAGCAATTCAGTTAAACCCCAGCTACATCCGGGCAATATTGAGGAGAGCGGAGTTGTATGAGAAAACAGACAAACTAGACGAAGCACTGGAAGATTACAAATTGATATTAGAAAAAGACCCATCAGTACATCAAGCAAGAGAAGCTTGTATGGTAAAACAAATTTTAAAGTATTTTCTTGAGATGGGTACAATGGTACATGCCTTTAATTCCAGCACTCGGGAGACAGAGGCATGTGAATCTCTGTGAGCTCAAAACTAGCCTGAACTATATAGCAAGTTCCAGGTCAGCCAGGGCTATGTAATAGAGACCTGTCTCTGCCTCTCCTCTGCCACCTGCCCCCCCCCCCAAAAAAAATTCTGTTTCTTTTGCTTTGTACTCAGTGACGTTTTAATCGTTTGGCTTACAACTAAATTCTTTTTTTTTTTTTTTTTTTTTTTTTTTACAAGACAGGGTTTCTCTGTATTGTTTTGGAGGCTATCAGTCTAGCCCGGCCTCGAACTCACAGAGATCCGCCTGCCTCTGCCTCCCGAGTGCTGGGATTAAAGGTGTGAGCCACCAACACCCGGCCCTAAATTCTATTTTTATGATTACCAAAATATATGGGAGATAGATGTTTGTAATGACTGCTTACTCACTGGGGCCATGTACCATTTGATCTCTACTCTGAAAGTGACATGAGCCAACTTGACAGCACACTCCTATAATCCCAGCCCTGGAGCAAAAGAAACAAATTTGGAACTAACTGGATTATATAGAAAGATCCTATCTCAAAAAATTAAATAAGCAAAAACAATAAATGGCTGTGTAAGTTTTTCTCTGTTGTATTAGGGATATTTTGTGAGTGTGTCTTCTAAAATTTTATATTATTTTGTGAGTATGAGTGCTTTGCCTGCATGTAAGTATGGTGTTTAGTGGCCGTGGTGGTCAAAAGAAGCATCTGATCCCCTAGAAGTGGAGTTAATGGGTGATTATTAACTACCCTTTTGTATCATCATCTTGCCACCCCTTATTTTGGGTTTTTTTGGTTTTGCTTTTTAAAATTTACTTATGTATTATGTGTATAGTGTTCTGCCTGCATGTACAGCTGCACGCCAGAAGAGGGCGCCAGATCTCATTATAGATTGTTGTGAGCCACCATGTGATTGCTGGAAATTGAACTCAGGACCTCTGGAAGAGCAGTCAGTGCTCTTAACCTCTGAGCCATCTCTTCAGCCCTATTCTGGGGTTTTTGAAACAATGTCTTAATATGTAGCTCTGGTTAGCTGGTAACTCTTTACATAAACCAGACTGGCTTCCAATTCTCAGAGATCCTTCTGCTTATGTCTCACAAGTACTGGGATTACAGGTGTGTACACCAATTGACTTATTCACCAAACTTTTCCTAAGGTCTTCCTTTGGTCTAGACACTGTTAAGAACTGAGAATGCAATGAGACTGCTCAACAGTTAATGGTGCTTGTTGCCAAGCCTGACTCCCTGAAATGAACTCTGGGGAATGATCCCTAGAACCCACATATGACAGGAGAAAACTGGCTCCAGAAAGTTGTTTTTTGATACACACACACACACACACACACGCACGCACACATGCACGCACGCACGCACGCAAATATAATTTTAAAAAGGACCTATAGCTAAAGCCATGTCTAGGTGGTTTTGAGTACTTTCTGCTCTTGAAGAGAGAGGACCCAGTTCAGTTCCCAGAATTCACAGCAGGTGTCTTACAACCACTTATACCTCCAGCTAGAGGATCCCACTCTTGGCCTCCTGGCATTGACACACACGCACACACACACACACACACACGCACGCACGCATGCACGCACGCACGCACGCTTGCGCATGAAAATAAATATTATTGTTTTAAGAGAACTGAGAATATGGAGGTGAGTGGGAGTGAGGCTTGTGAAAATGAACTCATTTGTTCTATTAAGTTACTGTTCTTATTTACCAACACATGAGAAAATGGGGAAAGGATAATTTGAAAGTGAATATGGTCAGAGTACATGATCTACTTTAAAATGCAACACATTAGTTTGTATAACTACCCTAATACATTCCCAGTGTTCTGGTACACACATGCCTGTGATTCCCAGCAGCTGAGAGTCTGAAGCAGGAAAAATCCCATAAATTCAAGTTCAGCCTGGAACAACACCTTGCCTCAAAAAAACAAACAAAACAAAACAAAACTTAAAGAATGAACTTAGAATGCAGTGGTAAACCAGAGAAGACTCTACCTCTGTTGTAGTCATTTGCAACATCAGTGGGGTCTTTTTCTTTATTTTTTATTTAACTTGCTCTTTTTTATATATCAATATTTAAATACTTCTCAGATTTAAATAAGAATTTTTCACCGAATGCTTATTTTCCTTTTTTCCTCAGAGATTACCTAAGCAAATTGAAGAACGTAATGAAAGGTTAAAAGAAGAGATGTTAGGTAAGTTGACTTCCTTTCCTTTTTCTTGATCATAACAGCCAGAACTAGGATAGGACCAGCAGTGTTCTTATTGACTTAGAGAACACAGCAGCTCAGAATCTCTCTTGAGGTATGTACTCATATGTGCATGTGTCATTGAGACTGGTGTGTGTGTGTGTGTGTGTGTGTGTGTGTGTGTGTGTGTGTGTGTGTGTGTGTGTGTGTGTGTGTGTGGCTGGCTGGCTGGCTGGCTGGCTGGCTGGCTGAGATGGCTGAGAGTACTTCTTTGCAGCAATACTAGGAATGAGGCCCTGCTCTGCTGTTTTAATTTCAGAAGTGCAGTATATTTTTGAGAGGAAATCAGCATTTTCAGGAACAAAATTTCTACCTTGTCTTTCACATACATGATAATTTAAAAAAAAACAGTTGAGTTTCTCCATTACATAATCTCCTCTTAAGGTTTTAAGTTCACTTAATGTGTAGTCATTATAGCCAGTAATGTCAGAATGCAGAGAGTTTCTCTTTGAAAATGGCACTACGTGTCCCTTTGGTGCTTGAGAAGACATGAGAAATGTGTGAAATAAACAGTAAGAGGGGAGGCTAAGGAGATTGCTCAGAGAACCTGCGTGTAGAGCCCCACTACCCATATTTTAAAAAAGAAAAACTGCTAGACAGTGGTATACACCTATAATTCTAACACTGAGGAGACAGAGACAGGAGGGTCCCTTGATCTCGATGGCCAGCTGCTCTTACTGAATTGGAGAGCTCCAGGTTCATTGAGAAGACTGTGTCTGAAAAAATAGACAGGAATAGAAGCTACTCACTGTTGTCCTCTGGTCTCTGTTTGCACACCTATGCACATGCACACACAAAATGGGGCAAGAGTGGGAGTGGCAGTTGGGGCGTAGAGTAAGGAGGGAAGATGTGGTAGAGGCAGCTCAGGTGAGGGCTTATGAGCCAGAGTAGGATGTGGCCATACCACAGAAGTGCAGGAGGAAATCTGGCTCAACTCAGAGGCATCTCCTGAACAGCCATCAGTCACTGGTTTCATCTCTCCCTCTTTGTGCTGTAGCCACAGCAAAGAAAAGCACCCCTGCTTATCCTCAGAGTAAACTGTCTCACACACTGTCAGGATCTTCAAAGGGACGTTTACATAATGAATCACTTGGACCATTTTTATAGAATGTTGCTTTGAGTCAGAGAAACTAAGAATAATCAGAGTCGGATCTCTAGTCCTAAAGAGCCGTGTCAGTAGAAGCAGGTTTGAACTTCTCACTGCCGTAAGATCCTACTGTAATAGGTTCCACCTTACATGGACATGTTGGCATGTTCAGGTTGAAGGTGCCAAGTTTGCTACAGGAGGGAATAAGGAAATCTGATTGCTGTCAAGGTGAGAGAGACATAGCATTAGCAGCCAGGGACAAATATGGCATATAGACTGCCTTGGAGATGAGGAGGCTGCTTTAGCCTCTGAACATTGGCAGGGGTCTAAACAGCAACAGGAAAGTATGTGTGATTGTGTGTATTAAGCAGTCTTCATCTAAGTTGGCTGCTTCTCTGCCATCACAGACAGCAAAAGTTTCAGACACTGGAAACTGAGTCTACCATATATGTTGTTGTGTTCCTTTGAGATCACCCTGGCTGGGTTCTGGCTTCAGACTCATCTCCAAATCTCATAGAGATGTTTGTTCCATAAATAAATGACCTCTTACTCTTGCATAATGCCACAAAATTAACTTCCAAAGCATCCTTAAGCTCTCCCTTTGGGTTCATTTTTCACTTTGCCACCAGAAGTGTCAACTTTAAAACTGTTCTCACACTGTCAGTGGACTCCTGTAGTGTAACAGCTACAGGCCGCTAGGCCTGGCTCAGGACCTGAATACAGAATGCAGCCTCGTGCCATCTTCTCTGCCCATTGGATGTATGGCTCCGCCTGTCTTATTTCATCAAATTCTTAATTTATGTTGCTGTGTAACCCATTTCACTCCATTTGTACTACACAAGGAGCCGCATGTATGCACATTACACATGCTAAGTGAATTAATCCATCAGAAGGTCTTAGGTCTTTGCAACTGTGCAGACTTCATCCTGCTCCGTTCTTGTCTCTGCTGTCAGATCAGTTGAAACTCCACTGCAGTTTCAACAAAGCCACCGGGAGCCTGAGTAGCCTCCACCTGATCTATCCCTACGTGCCTGTACAGCCCATAGCTAGGCTGGCCTTGGTTTGACCATGCTGACAGTGTTAGTTTCTTCTGCTTTTGGAGACGCATAGAGTTCAAAGGTCCTATATAGGCAGGTCCTTCAGCCAGCTGGGGAAAATAAGGATCTAGAGAAGTTTGAGCACTTCCCCCTTAGCTTGGTATAGTCTTAGTGCACTCAAAGAACACATTTCCTTCAGTACAGACCAGCCTGAAAACAAATCATTGGTGCCTAAGGACACTGTACTAGGGAACATGATGGCATACCCATTGGCTCACTTTACAGCTCAGGCTAGCTTGAACTCATGGCAGTTCTTCTGCCTCAGCTCCTTAGTGCTGGAATTACAGGCCTGTCCCAATAATGACATTGTGTTCAGGTAGCTTTTTGTCCTCCTTGCCCGCTTTAACAACCTCAGAATGGGCTGCTGGAGTTCTGCAGGGCTGTTTGATTTTTGTATGTGCCACCCAGATATCTGTCCCAGGGCCTCTTCTGTCTTAGAGCAGCATAAGAATCATTGTTTCTGGTATGTTCGTTACCTGAGTGATAAATGAGTAAACCTAAAGCTGGACACTGAACTACTGAGGTTGATGGCACTATACAAATGAACAAAATCTCATCTCCCCCAAGAAATACCAGGAGCTGAGTAGGAGGCTTAAAAGTGTGCTTGGAAATGCGGAAGGCTCCTTAGAAATGTGAACTTAGCAGGTGGCTGTTGCTGTTTTCCTGAAAGCAAATAGGTGTGTTTGGGGGCTGCTGTCCTCACAACTCTGAAGGCTAGCACCTTTGCCCAGCACTCAGGCTGAAGCTCCTGTCCTTTGGTAATCCTAGCCAGCATGACAGGAGGCTTTGATCTCCCTTGGAGGGACCCTGAAGGACCTTGAGCTCCAGTGTCACTCAGGAATGGAATAATGGCACCACTGAGAAGAAACTGAGAACCCTCCCAAAAAAAGTCAGGTTATTGAAAGCAAGCATATCTGTAACGTGTGACAAGAGGCAAAGTCAACTGATACCTTCCTGCTTGTTCCAACATTCATCTGAGTTGCTTTTATATTGCAGGTAAACTAAAAGATCTTGGCAACTTGGTTCTTCGGCCATTTGGACTCTCCACAGAAAATTTCCAGATCAAGCAGGATTCTTCTACCGGCTCCTACTCCATCAATTTTGTTCAAAATCCAAATAATAATAGATAACAGAACTAACAGTAGTCATAAAGGCTGACTGGGAGGCCATGAACTGTTCAAGGGCAAGACCCTGCAGGTGTTTAATGTTAAAAAGCGTCTTATCTAAGGCTGTGTAGATTCTGAGCTGCCTTGTTTTATGATCAGGGTGGAATGTGCCTCCTGATGTAATGAGCCTCAATAATTTCCATTTTAAGGTGGTGTCCATGCGCCTGCTGGGTTTGTTGTTTTTTGTTTTGTTTGGGAGAAGCCTACTTGCCAAGGCTGACCTCTTAGAGCCACACAAATGTGCTAGCCAGCAAAAGCCTCTCCCTAACCATGCAAGCCTGTCAGTTAGGTGATGACCATACATGCTGGACAGGGTCTCCTCCTGCTGTCCCTCCCTGCTCATATTCTCAGAGGCTGCACTGCAGGAGCTTCAGCAACCCTGAGTTCCTGTGTTAATAAAAGCTTTCTGTAAAAGTTGGGAGTTGTGTTGTTAATGGTGTTCTCATAACAGCAGCTGAAGTGGATGCTATGACATTCAGAACCAGTTCTGGTTTCAATTAAGATTACTGATTCTAAATCCACGAGGCTAATGAAGATTTTTGCTGTTTACTCATCTTGAATAAACGACCCAGTCTGTGGGAATTCAAATCCTGCCTCATGAGCCATCTGGGACAACCTTGAGCTTTGTATGGTTGTGAAGTTAGTAGTTCTGACCAAGCATCAGTGCTAATTTCAGCTTAAAAATAGCTTCACTGAGAATGGTATGTGTCCCCAAACAGAACCTGTTCAGACTGCATGAAGGCAGAAGTTTCCAGAATTTTGTTTTGTTTTCCCTATGCATGTGTTGATGCTAGTGAGTTTTTATTTCATAGCTGAGTGTCACTGTTTCATGTGGACCTTATTTTAGAGACCAGCTGCCATGTCATCCTCAGCTGTGTGGGACGACTGCCTTGGAACTTGCACTATAAGCTAGGTTAGCCAAAAGCACCTAACAGTAAATTCCTTTTGGACAGAATTTCTGTACAACTTGTACATACACACCCATTTTGGGCAAACAGGGTGTCAGATTTAGCATGTAGACAGCAAAGTTGAGCGTAGTAGCTAATACTGTAAACCCCAGCACTTGGGAGGCTGGGGCACAATGATTGCCTGATTAATCAGTCTGTTAGACAGGCTTGGCAAATCAAAAGTGACACTGCATACCTTCCTCTCACTAAGTTCCTAGGCTTTCAGGAAGAAACCCAGGAACAAGGCAGGACCTCAAGGAGGGGGGTGGGGGTAGAGAAAGAGAGATTATATATACCATATTCATGTAGGGCCCACAGAGACCAGAAGAGGACATAGGACTCGAGTCAGGTCACGGTTGGTTGTGAGTCACCATGTGGGTGTTAGTAACCAAACCTGGGTCCTCTTTGAGAGCAACAGGCATTCTTAACTGAGTCATCTCTCTAGGGATTCCTACCTGTACCTCTTGATGGCTATTTGGGGGGTTTTCTTTTTTAAATTTGTGTATCCCTGCCTGTTCTGGAATTCATAAAGATCCACTTGCCTCTACCACCTGAGTGCTGGGATTAAAGGCATTCGCCAACATCAACCAGCTAGTTTTTTCTTAAGACAGGGACTCAAATCTAAGTTAGCCTCAGATCCGAATTGATCTATTTATTTTCCCTGTGTGGTCAGGAAAAGACTTGGAACCCTGGTGTTTATGATCATAATTAACCAGCTAGGTATGGTGGCACAAGCATTTAGTTCCAGCCCTCTATAGGCAGACTGGGTTTAAGGCCACCATGATATACATAATGAGTTCCAGGCCAATCATGGCTTCAAAGTGTGACCATATCTCAAAAAAAAGAAGGCCCTGCTGTTAACAGACTTTAAACTGATGCATTGTTGAGAGAAATGTAACTGCGGCAAATGTGGAGGCTACACTAGGGTTGTTCAGCAGTGAGTCCAGCAGTTATACCATGAAATGCCAAGAGATTGTGTAAGAGATCACTTGAAGCTATTCTGCTATCCTAGTCATGTAGAACATCCTCAACTCTGCTTGTCTCCTGCTTCTAAGTTTTCACATCTTGGTTTAGACTTTAGACTTTCAGAAGTCCCCACCTGTCCTGTAATCTCAGTGTCTCCACTGCCTCTGGTTATATTTCTACCAATTCTTGTATCTACACCCACAGCATATGGTGACTTTTACCTAGGTTGTCCACTGGTGGAGTGTCTCCAGAGGCTTGGCCATACTTAGGACTATTATACAGTAAATTCATATTCATGTGAGTCTGTATACAGCTCACTGTAGATTTTTTTACTCACAATGTGGATTTATAACACTGTTATAATCATCTTCTACTCTTAGAATCCTAACTGTCCCTCACCCTGTGCTAGGGATTGAACTCGGGACTTAGGCATGCTAGGCAAGGACTCAACCATGACCCTTGTATCTTGGGCAGCTTAGACTTCTGTAGCCCAACCTCAATTAACAGACGTGAACCGTCTGTCCTGGTTCAAATCTGTTTTCTTTTTCTGATGTGCCTGTCTTCACAGCACTGCAGCCGATTTGGACACATTACACTGTGCCCAGATACAGAGGCTGGGCCATTGCTAAGTCTAGTCTAGTGACTCATGTCACAGTAGTGGGCCTACATCTAACTTCAGCAGGTGGAACTGAATTGAGGACAGCCTGGTCTGCATATTAAGACCCTGTCTCAAAAATAAATAAGTGGCTGATGAGATGGCTGGTCTTCCAGACGTCCTGAGTTAAATTCCCAGCAACCACATGGTGACTCACAACTATCTGTAATCAGAAATCCAGCTCAGGGCATGAAGGAAGTTACAGCAGTCCTCAGAGGTCAGGGCTGACAGGACCGAATGAGATAAAAAGTATTTAGATGCTGAGGACATGGGCTGTGCTAGCTGTCCTTGGGACACACTGCTGCATGGTTGGAGCACCCCCAGAATAATGTGCTATCATTAGTTTCACCCCATGAACTGATCCAGACTCCAGCAGCACTTTCTATGGATATTTAGCTCAACTGACTCCAATATTGTTTGTGAGTAAAGACTCCATATAGCCTGAGTATCAGGCAGCCTTCTAAAGGTTTGCTTTACTAAAATGGGGAGGTCTACATCAGTCGCGCGTGCGCGCGCGTACACACACACACACACACAAAAATCTCAATTTCCTGATGGGTTTTCAGAAACTAATTTTTCTCCTAACAACCAAGAGTTAATTTCTGGTACACAGATCAATCCTATAGGCTATGATAGAAATCAGTCTGTTTGGGTAGGCCTCCTCCTGGAGGGAAGGGGGCTTAAAGATGGTATGTATTGGATGACCTTGAGTTATAACCCTGAGTGCTGAGATTGCAGGCCCTGTGTGCCATCAGAGAAACCCACCAGCACTGTGTACTACCCACTCAAGGCAGGCTGTTTCCATCAGAAAGCAGTCTGCTGTGTGCTGGCCTATCACACTGCAGTCGGCCTCTGCCTCTAGTCAGAAGAGACCAGTAAAGCCTCTTAGTGATCCTCCTTAGGATGCAGTACTACTTCCCAGATCACACAACTCAGCTCAATTTTAAAGTCGTCTTGTTTTTAAAGAAAAAGAAAAAAACACTTTTAAAGGTAATGCCTAAAAATATATAAATAAAAAAAATCAAAGACTTTATTGGATACCATTACACAACATTCTTTAACATTTAACTCTGAGCAGATGGAAGGTGAGAAACAATGTAGCATTCAAGTCTACAAATGAAATAGGCCTGTGAGGATTTGAAATACAGACAAAAGGTAGCATGAAGCAGAGCTTAAATATTAAGCAACTAAAGCAATAAAAATGAAGTTGTAACATGGTAGGCATAGATTTTAAATACCACCAAGTGTCTTTTTTTTTCTTAATGAAAATCTAGTTTGTAATAAAATGCCTTTAAAGATTTGTCATGAGGAAAAAAAATATGTAGATTATTCAAACCTGATCTCTCCCAGTGCTTCTGCCTTCTTAATATTATTTTTGGTCAATTCCATCTCTCTACAAATAAAGATTTCTAAAGCTTAAAGGTCTTCCTGATACAGTCCGTGCATACTCCACATGACTGGGAGACACCTGGTTCCTGAGTGAGCATAAAAGTTACTGCTGGTGTTGGGGGTCTAAGACAAGACTGACCCCAGAGCCCGGAAGCGTGCTTCAAGTCTTCTCCACGGCTCCCTGCTGTTACAGTTCCTGAGCCCATTTGACAAGATGACGTCATGATGTGGAAGTCTCCAAAGAGATCATCGTAAAATGCAGTCAGGACTTCCCAGCACTTGCAGTATGTTAGGATCTGAATTAAGCTCACTAGACTCCAGACTACCCGGCTTTTCTTCTTGAGTTATAAATCAAATCACAGTCAGGTATATTAAACGATTTAAAAATCCCACCCAGAGCATTTGCTAATCCTGAGCAATGGGCTGTTGGGTAATCTCACCCACACAGAAAGATCACAGAAAGTGAACTCTTGAGCCAAGTGCTCGCTTATCAGTTTGTTGTGTTGCTTTGAATGATTTTTGTGAGTTAGTTTCTTTTTTTATTTTGGCTTTTTTTCTTTTTGTAGTAAGTAATCAATATGGTGTTATCTTTCTGGTTTAAAAAATAAATCAGTATTGCCACTAAAAATCTTCAGTTTTATTATTAAAATTACGGCACCATCAAATATAAAATATTTAAAAATGTAGTACTAACAGGTCCATCTGATTTTCTCATGTGTTCTCCATTCATTAAACAAGTAAAATTAAGGATTTTCATAATATGTATTTAAACAAAGACAAGGAAAATCTGTGGTCTCTATTAAGAATTCATGTTCATGCACCAAAAGTTTAGGCTGTTTGCAAGGATCTGTTTCTGCCACTTGTCTCCCAAGGCCAAGTCTTCCCCGACACCTGCGAGAACTTCCTGTACCAGAAAGAAGTAGGGGCTTCTTGCAATGGGAAGAGGTCCAGATCAACACTGATGCTGTCACCTTTTTAGAACAGCGCCACTCAGTAAGGGGAGAGGCGGTAATAAAAGCTTGTCCAGCTCAGGAGAATTATGAGCTAGTTCTTGGGAGTGTACGATTTCATTCCAAAATCAACACTAGCCTATCCACTTGGAAGTCAAAATATGAAAAGGTAAGAATGTAGTTATGAAAATGTGCACATAATGTTAAATACTAGTGGCAAATAAATACATCTTAATATGCTCTAACAAGCAAACATATATTCAAGATAATACAGCCCTGTTTTATTAAAAGAAAAGATCCACATTTTACTTGTGGGTGGGGCGGGGCACTTAATCATCCTTTCAGCAGGATGTCTTCTCGTTTCTATGGGCACCTGAAGGAAACACTGGCCTTAGCACAAGTGACCATTGCTATTTCACAGGAGCGCCATTTTAAACACACCTCTGCTCACTTCTGAATTGATAAACATAATCCTTGGAGAGAGCACAAAGGTTAAGTATGCAAAACAATTCCACATTTCTGCACCATCCCATGCCTGATAAGCCTGTCCAAACTACTGTTCACATTCAAAAGAAGCTACCATCAGCGACTCTTCCGCGTCACACTTGAGTGCATCACCTTTCTCCTCCTCATGCACAATTTATTGCAGTACTTTGTTTCTTTTATATATATATATATATATATATGTATATATATATATATATATATAAAATATTCCCTAATACCTTTTCTCCCATTCAGTCTACTCTCAGAGTGCCCTATATAAATGACTGGTTTTAGCCACTGCTTTAACATTTACTTCTTAGTGCAGCTTAAAACTCCAATCTTATCCAGTCCTGATGCTCTTGTTCTGTCACTGTGGTACACGTCCAAGAAACCGCAGTCTGTTAATGTCTTTGTGCTGAAATACAATAAACAAAAGGAAGACATGTAGTTAAGCACAGGTAATATGTGAGAAAAAGAAACCCTACAGATTGTGTCTTTTAAATCATGTATTTGACGTTTTAAACACAGCCGACTGCCATTCTACACCAGTAGAAGCATTGAGTGTTTTATCTGAGCACATCTGTCCAAATTCCAACACACATGGCTATCCTGAGTCCTTTTCTTAGGAATATTTTCGCAGAATTTTGACCTTTTTCTTTTGTTTATTTTTTTCAAAGCAGATTTCTTTTTGTAGGCTTAGCTGTCCTGGAACTCACTCTGTAGACCAAGCTGGCCTCAAACTCACAGAGATCCATCTGCCACTGCCTCCAGAGTGCTGAGATTAAAGGCCTGTGCCACCTTATGTTGCTATTTTTAAGTTACAGTATATCAAAGTAGAAGAGACAGACTCCTAGGGAACACCAGCCTTACCCTGGCAGTTAACCTGCAATCTTTTTTAAATATACTTTTAGATAGGTCTCACCTTGGAACTCTGGTTGGCCTGAAACTCATCGAGAACTGCCTACCTGTGCCTTCCCTGCTGGAATTAAATATGTGAGCCACCAAACCCAGACCTGTCCCCCATTTCCCGTTTTTTGTTTGTTTTAATTTGTTCTTGTTTTTTGAGACAGGGTCTTTTGTAGTCCAGGATCACCTCAAATTCACTATATTGTCAAGGCTGACCTTGAATTCCTATCTTCCTTGCCTCCATTACCTGAGTGTTGAGATTAAGGTGTACACTATTAAAGCTAGCTGCTTAGTGTTAAGCAAATCAATATACATAACCAAGTGATATTAGAAATCAGGTATAGGGTGCAGTATACTATTTACACAAAGCCACAAGGGGCCTGGGGGGGAGCCTCCCCAGAGTCAGACACATCAGAAGGCAATGAGAGTGTTATTTTATTACTAGGTCACTTAGTGCACTGACCAGTGCCCCTTATTACACCTGGCCAAAAGGACGCCAGACACAACTGGCAGACAACATGGCTTATAGCAGGCATTGCCATGCAGCAGGGTCAGACTGCCCACATTAGCAAACAGCATGCAAAGGAGTGGGCTTCCCACTACCCTCCAGTCCTTAGCTGTGCCCTCAGAACTGGAGCTTGAGACCCGGGAAAGAAAGATGATCTTGGTATCAAATACATATTTTAAACCAAAGAAAATGCTATTTCAGTGGACTAATAGAACAAACAGAATGCAGAAAGAAGAAAAAAGCACTCATCTTTCCCAACGTATATATCAAAGTCAGATCTATTCCATAGCTTGACAGATTTGATTTATGTTATCTTCCTAGTGTGACCATGGTTCATTTGTTCTGGTCATGTAGGCCCTGAGTCAGGGCCTATAAAATAAACTCCACAGAGCATTCTGTCCCGTGTCTTTCAAACAATGAAAAAATGACTTCTGGCCAAAATATTGCCAACCTCATGGTGAAGGGCCCGGGTATTTGTTGTTTCTGAAAAAGGATAATTAATGAATGCTGATTTAAAATACAACTTTCTGAAAATGAAATGGCTACAATAGTAAGACACAGACTCACAAAGAACCTCAGAAATGAATTGCCCTTTCATAAACTAAAGGAAAAGGGGGCGGGCAGTGTCCCAACTGTGCCTTTTAAAATCTGGTTTTGCCAAGCATTGGTGGTGCATGCCTTTAATCCCAACACTCAGGAGGCAGAGGCAGGCGGATCTCTGTGAGTTCGAGGCCATCCTGGTCTACAGAGTGAGTTTCAGGACAGCCTCCAAAACAATACAGAGAAACCCTGTCTCAAAAAACCAAAAAAAAAAAAAAAAAAAAAAAAACTGGTTTTAACGTAAAGCCTACTGAAATTCAGAACAAGAAAGCCAAGAACTCCTATAAGTACAGAAAGCCAAAGACTACTACTCCCTCAATAGATTAAAGTGGCTACCATGCCTATCTATTTAGGCAAGAGTTCAAAATTCTTATACAATATTCAATGAACCAGTATCAAGGCTATAGGTCACATGCAATGATATAATTCTCCAGAAGCTACACAAACAGTAAATCAAATAATCCTGGTCTGTCCCCTATGCAGAAGACTAGGTCTTTTGTTTATTACTTTTTGTTCAAAGAAAGTAATAAAAGTTTGGGAGCTAGGAACATAACTCAGTGGTTAAGAGTACATTATAGTTCTTGCAGAGGACCTGAGTTCCCTTCCCAACATTCACATCAGGCAGCTCCCAACTGCCTGTAAAACCCAATCCAGGGGACTTAAAGCTTCTTTCTTCTGACTTCCAAGCACACATATATGTGGTATACAGTCACACACACACACACACACACACACACACACACACACACACAAATGTAATAGACATAAATAACAACATAAAAAATAAGTTCAAAGGAACATCCAAAATTCCTAAACCCCTTCTACCATGTAAGAGTCCAAAATCAAACAATTTTATACATTACCCATTAAGTCATATATAGAAATAGATTATAACCATTGTGATCCTGTCTTATCACCTGTAAAGTTCTGATTCACCTTATGTAAACGACAATGAGTTTTAAGCTTTACTTTCTAAGTATTCACATACATGTTTGTCTCTTTTTCTTTTTGGAGACATGATCTCACTATGTAGACCAGGCTAGCCTTTGAACTTAATAGATTCACCTGCCTCTGCCTCTAGAGCACTGAGATTAAAGCCATGTACCACCACACTAGGCCCCACATACATATTCTTTTTTCCCCCTTTTCCACTTTTTGGTTTTTCCAAGACAGGGTTTCACTATGTAGCGCTGGCTGTTCTGGAACTCACTATGTCGGTCGACCAGGCTGGCCTCAAACTCACAGAGTTCCACCTGCCTCTGCCTCCTGAGTGCTGGGAATAAGGCATGGTCCATCATGCCTGGCAACATCCATACTCTTACACCTTTTTCGCTCTTTTTAAAGACAGACTCTCAGGCTGTCCTCAGACTCACTAGAGCAGATGACGATGATCTTGAGCTTCTGACCTTCCTGCCTCCACCTCCTGAGTGCTAGAGTTAGCAGGCTTGTGCCACCATACCTGGTTTATTCAGAACTCTGTGGAGCCACTCCACCAACGAGCCACATTCCCATTCCCTATAGTATTATAGGTACAGTAGTAAGCAACAAAGAAGGTAAAGCCAAAAAGATTGAAAATAACCCGATTTCCAGGAACAACCAGTTGCCATCTAAAATAAGCCTACAATGGAACAGTTGATTATCACCACAAGGTTGTTCTCAATACAGATACTAACAGAGGGTTCTACTCCAGAAAATGTACTTTCAGTTCCTGGAAATGAGTAGCTAGAGGAAGTACACCCAACTACCAAGGTCAATGAAAACTGAAGAGGAAACTAAGGCATCTTTTGAAGGCTAGCCTAATCTACTTCAGGTGGTTAAGTGAGGATGCGGTGCCCTCTTCACTTCGTGGCAGGGCTTAAGACAGACAGACCTGCCCGCTTCACTGTTAACTTCAATGCTCCCAGTCTGAATCCACAGTGGTCTGTCAGACACTGTAAGGGAGCAGCAGGACTCGTCACTGTCTGATGTAATAGCTGCCATTTGTTGAGACCTATGGTAGAAAAAATCAAGTTAACAAAAATAGAGCAGTCAGTTAAGTTCTTTTTAATCTATCTAACAAAAAAAGTTAAAAAAAAAAAAGACCAAAATTAATTTGAATCTTCCTAATGGGTTTATTCTGGATAACTTGCTAGCTTCAAACAAAGCTTTGGTACTACAGAGCCTCAATAACCATGTGGGTACTCCAACCATGGCCAGGAGAGGGCACTCTTGTGTGCACATCCCAGTAGATGCAGAATGTAACCTGGCAAGATGCCCTCCAATAAGCCTATAAATTAAAGTGGAAAGGCTAACTCACATTTTATGTCCCTGAGAAAAATTAATAAATAAATAAGTTTAGCATCTAACACTAACCTGCTCTTGGAGCAGTCTCAGTCTGGATGGTCCAGAGGGCTGAAGTTTTCACCTCATACATATTACATCATTTTGAAGCTCAAAGACCATCAAAAGCCCCTTGAATGCTAAAGATCTCCCTTGCATAGCTTCAGGTTCTAGCTGGTTGATAAACTTTCTGAGAACAGAACCTTAAATGTTGAGCATAATTCAAATGAAAAACTACTACTTTTAAAACTGTTGTTTTGCTTCAAGTCAGGGTCTTACAATATAGCCTGGGGCTGGTCTAGAATTCTGTGTAGCCCAGGCTAGTCTCAATCTCCTGCCTTGGTTTTCTAGGTGCTGAGATTACAAGCACAAGCGAGCACATCCTGCTTTAAATCTTATTTTTAAAGGTATTTAATTCTGTGCTTCTATCAGCACAGCAAGCTCAGGGATCATTCACTTATTATTTTTTTATTAAAAGTCACAATCAGACCAGGCAGTGGTGGCACAAGCTTTTAATCCCAGCACTCAGAAGACAGAGGAAGGTGGATCTCTGTCAGTTTGAGGCCAGCCTAGTCTACAAAGTGAGTTCCAGGATAGCCAAGGATACACCAAGAAAGCCTGTCTTGAAAAACCTTAAAAAAATAAAAAATCACGATCAAGCAGGGTATGGCTATGCATAGCCTTAAATCTCAGCAAAAGCAAAGGCAGCTGGATCTATGCATTCCATGCAGGCTTGGTCTACACAGCAAGATGAAGGACAGCCAGAGCTGCATAGTGAGGCCTTGTCTCAATAAATTAATTAAACTTCCAGATTGGAAGCAGTAGAGCTGTAAATTGTAAAAGCTTCTAAAATAAGCTGTCCCAACACTAAAAAGTCCAATGTATAAACACAATTACCTCTGATTCTAGTTTAGAGGAAAGTAATTCTTTAAGATGAGGCTCAATAGTAAGGTTTTACACTGGAATCTGGGTGTACTGTTAACTGAAGCAGTGGCAACTACACAGGAAGGAGGAGCCAACACACTAAAGGGGAATGTCCATCATGCTTCCAAGATCAGCTTCCAACCACCACCTAAGCTGAGGAACTATGGACAGTGGATAGACACCGAGGGAGTTAGTCAGTTTTCTCTCTTCCCTCCCCCCCCCCCCCCCCGGTGTGTTCGTGTTTCTTAAAACAGGGTCTCTCTACGTGACCCTGGCTATCCTGGAACTTGCTATGTAGACCAGGTTGGCCCAGAACTCAGATATGTCTGCTTGTACTTCACAAGTGCTGGGATTGAAGATATGCACCACCATGTTAAACCCAGTCAGTTTTCTCTAAGGGTAAAGCCCTAGTAGGTCAATCATGCTCCAGTAAGTGAACACCAAGGGTTATAATAAGAAATAAAAATAAATTGAGCCGGGCAGTGGTGGCGCACGCCTTTAATCCCAGCACTCGGGAGGCAGAGGCAGGCGGATCTCTGTGAGTTCGAGGCCGGGCTGGACCGATAGCCTCCTAAACAATACAGAGAAACCCTGTCTCGTAAAAAATAAAAAAATAAAAAAACAAAATAAATAAATAAATTGAAAAAAAAAAAGAGAGAACATGCAGTTGGTGGATGGATCTCAGAGCAGTTACGGGGAGGGGGCAAATCAAAATAGATTATACACATGTATGAATTCCTCAAAGGCTTTTGTGTATGAGCATTTTCCCTGTACATATGTTACATATGTGTACCACATGCCTGCCTGATGGCCATGGAAATCTGAAGGTGGCATTGGATCCCCTAGAACTGGAGTTACATATGGGTGGTAGGAAAGAAACCCAGGTCCTCTGCAAGAGCAACAAATGCTCTTAACCACACTGAGCTCCAGCCCCAAGTGTACTTTTAAAAGAGAATTGGTCTTTGATTTTATGTAAACAAGCAGCAGAAAGATCAGGAGTGAGCTCGCCTTTCCTGTTCCTTTTTTCCACTGCAGCTCTTAAAATACTACATAAGGACCGATAGCCTCCAAAACAATACAGAGAAACCTTGTCTCGAAAAAAACCAAAAAAAAAACAAAAACAAAACAAAATACTACATAAAACCTAGTATGCCTAGAGCATGGTGCTAACACTGAAGATGAGCTTCTTCCCCTCAATACTTTCAGGGTCTTCAAATTTTCTTTGGAAATTTACCACCAATGCAGGGTATCTACAAAGAAAAGCCAAGGAACCCTGCCTAACACACCGTAAAGGGAAAGATACCCCCATGAAAAGGCAGTGATCTCAAGCTCAGAAGTTACTTGTTTTGTCCTCTAAAATAAATCCTACATGCAACAATGGTGCTCTCCTAGGGGCAGCAGAGATCAAGAAGCCAATCAGAAGAGAGTAAGTACACAACCACCCTTGTAGATTCTGTGAAAGTAGGAACATGAGGCAATACTTAGTGCAAAACCTGAACTGAAAAAGTGAAAGATTCTGTCTATATGCATATATCTATAATTCTATAAAACACATTATAACTATAAATTCTAATACAAGTATGATGCAATGTGAGCAAGAAGGAAATGCAAAAGTGAAGTCTCCTGGCAGAGACATTCTGGTTTTCTAACCAGTTACTGATTACAAATCGCACATATCCTTCCCAGTATACTTGGACTCCCTTCAAGAGGTGCCACTCCCAGGCAGATCCTACACTAAAAACCTAAGTGGAGGGAGAAAGACTGATGATACATACATCATGTTTATCATGTTGATTAACAGCATCTCAAAATGAACCATGAGTAACAATGATTATCTAATAGGAAATGTGACCACGGCACACACATATTAAAGCCAGGTATTTCCTCCTAAATCTCCTACTCGATACATGTGTACACTGACATCCACTTTTCACCACTTGTTAAAATTTCAACTTAAAAGGTGACAAGTGCAACTTGTAGCTCCTTTTAGGGCTCTGCTAACAGGACTGTGCACATGGAGACCCAAGCTTGGATTCTTCTCCTACCTCTAGAAAGGACTTGGAATGTGCAAGGTTTTACATGTCTGAGTCAGTCGTCCTCATTCATTTACAAGTAGATGATCATTTCTTTTATGTCCATACACAAGAGCCTGTGTGTGCAGGTCAGAGGACAACAACAGGTATCAGTTCTCTCCTTCTACCTTGTCCCCAGAGGTCAAATTTAGACCGTCAGGCTTGGCAGCAAGCTCCTTTACCAACTGCACCACCTTGCCAGCCCTAGATGAACATTTCTACTTACGCCTATGCTTACTGTGAGCAGAATGAGAAAATATGAGATAGTCTTGAAGTATGTTAAGTTAAATATGATACTATAATGAACTTTAATCATGGTTTATTTATCTCATGCATAATTCCCACGACCTCCAATAGTTAGCCTCCATAAATGCCAGCTAAAACCAGCCAGTGTAGCAAGACATGGTGGCAAAAACTGTAATCTCAACTCAGTGACGTAAAAGCAGGATCAACAACAGTTCAAGACCAATCTCAAAACAAAACAAAAACCACCCAAACACCCAGAGAATGTATGCTACCTGTAGTTATTTGTTATTAATAGTAACAGATAGTAAGTATTAAAAGCTACCAAAATGAGGTTTCTCTGCTACACATGAGTGGCTGGTAATATGAACAGTATTTACACAGGCCTTGTGCCAGGCACTCTTCTATTGCTGTAAAGACATTAATTACCAAAATTACTTTCTGAGGTGGTGCTATTCATTCTCTCCATTTCACAGATGCTAACAATGAGTTAACTTGCCTAAGATCGCAAGTTGTAAGGAACAGACTGAAATGAGTCTAGGGCATCTGGCTTGAGAGCTCACACTTTTAAACCTGTGCCTAAAAAGTGAAAAACAATCTTCTTGGTTAGATAAAAGCCTGCTGTCAAGCCTAGCTGATGCCAAATCGGTAGTGTTCAAACTCCCCTCCATCACTGCTAAGTTACTCTCTCGTTTCCTCTCATCTGGATGGCATGCTTCCCTTCCTACATAAACAACCTCTTTAAGTAACAAAAAGCTGCCCTTGCATTTTTCCAGAGGGACAAAATATGCTCCTCAGACTTTGTTTGGTTTGATTTTGCTTTGGGGCACACAAAGTAAGCCAGTTGTAGTCGTACTATGTAGCCTGAGCTAGCCTCAGTTTAGGATCTTCCTGTTTCCACCCCAGGTTTCTTCAATAGCTTCTAGTAGAATCGTACATGAGAGTTAAACAACGATTATAAATTCCTCGAACAGTTCAAAAGACACTCCTGCTAAAATTTACCAGGCATTATAATTTGATGTTTTGTTTTTCTAGACAGGTTTTCTCTGTGTAGCCCTGGCTGTCCAAGAATTCTGTAGAGCAGGCTGGACTTGAACTCAGAGATCTGTCTGTTTTTTCTTCCCAAATGCTGGGATTAAAGGTGTGCACCACTACTATCAGGCATAATTTCTTTTTCTTTTTGAAAAGCCTAACACTCCAAGCCTAGTGTGGTATAGCTGATGCCTGTAATTACAACACTCAGGAGTAAGAGACAGAAGGCAGAGACAAGAGACAAGAAAGTGTCAAGTTTGAAGTGAGTCTAGGCTACATGAGACCTTGTTTCAAACAACAAATACCCTAACATATTTACACACACAAACACAGGGAAAGAGAGAGAGAATGTCCCCCAGCACTTTGGCTATGAAGGACTTGCCTTTCCTTGTAGACACAG